CAAAGAACTCTTGCATTAGGAAGTTACCATTAGTCCTCCAGAAAATCATTACAGGTGTTACTCGACATCTTTTGTGCTAGGGTCTTAGTTTTTTCTGGTTGCGTTTAACAATTACCTCGTGGTACTACCTTAATCGATTTAGTAATGGAACTTTGATACTGTAAAATCTCATTTTTCTTACAAATCTTCAGATCAAAGGTTTAAAATCAAGCCTTAGAAGCCCTTTCTTTTGGACCCTTGACCTATCCTTGGAATTCATCTAAAATAAAATTTTTATAGAGAAGGCTAAGGGGGGAAAAAGTTGGCGAGTTCCATATCTTAGCAATGAAACCTATATTACTAACCTTCAGTATACATTTTCTCTTGTCGTTCCTACTCCCACAGAGTTTATTTACGTGAAGGTCTAAAATATGCACCTTGTTGTAACAGACCGCCTGTATCTAAATTATGTCTGCCGTGATTCCATCGTTTTTTGAGGCATCTGCGTTCAATATCATCCCGGAAATTGGTCCTTTGTAATTAAGCCAGTTACCCCGGTTTTATAACAGAAAAGAGTTGGAAGCGTTCAAGCGGTCAGCCCTGCTGGTAGTGGTTCCTACCACTTACACCCACCGTCTTTGCTGATCTCGATTCTCCGAGATCTGTGCAGGCAGTAGGTACGCGATGTCTTGATGGAGGCAGTCACCAAAGTTAACTAGCTACCTGACAACTGCGGCAATATCAAATCTGCGAATATTTTACGTTCCCCATTCTATCATGTCTAATAAAAAAGGGGTCCAAAGAAAGGCAAAAAAAATTGATGGGTAAATTTCCTGCCTCCTAGACAGTTGGCATATCTCAAAGACTTCGCAATTTTGTTTAATTTGTAAAAATAGTAGGATTCCAAATGTGAAGAAATATAAGTAGCTACTCAGGAAATATGCATAGCCGTTTGTCAACCAGGCAGCTACTTGACCCTCCATTTGTCGCTTCTCTTACCGCCTCCTAGGATTTCCAACATTTTATTGCATCTCTGCTGCCCCCACTGCACCAGTCTGACTGATGAATACGAGAGAGACCTCTGTAATTAGTTTTCCGTTTTTCCCATCTCCCTTCGTTGCTCACTCCTTAGGACTTCTCTATTTGTGGAGAATTAAAAACTGGCATTCAGGAAGTCGGATCAACCATCGGTTATATTTATGCTTCATTTATATATCCTTTCATGCGCAATATACATTTAACCTTTTGTTCTTTAGGGATAATCTAGCCGACGAATATAATAAACTGATCTTGATTATAACCTACTGTCGTTATTAAGTAAGTACGTTGAACGCAAATCTTCGTAAACCCACTGTCTTTCTAGATATTTGTTTCGTAGGGCCTATATTTAGTCAAAAATATGGGAAAATACTACTGATTAGTGGGAAACAATAACATTTTTGGATGGATTCTCTCCTCACATTGCCTTCTTTTACTTTAACTGACAAATGAGTGGAAACCTCTAGCCATTTTGTGATTTGGAAAATCTCTCTGATGGCAGCCTTAAAAACCGTACTTTGAATAAACCGCCTTCTTTAAATGCCAAGCCAAAGGCGTGAACTGATGGTGGGTTGTAAACAATCCCGGTTTTCTTAGTCGTCATCAGTGGGGCATTGTTCAAAACAGAGAGGCCTCATTGACATTTGGGGAACTGACCCGTTTCATTGTTAAACATACTCATGATGACTGGACATATACTTTGTTCTGGGAAGGATATTCAAAAATTGAAAACAAATTCCTGAAGTACCATCTCGTAACTTATCTGAAAACTTATTTACCATCCTGGTTGGATAGTCGTACTCACTGATGTGATAGATTAACCCTGGAGAGGGATAACTGTAAATCCAGTTCACACAAAGATGTTCTGGCTAACCCTGAAATATGCTTCATCTTAAAAGAGATTTCTTAGCTCTTCCACACCTAGAAGCAATTGGCATGGGTAATTATCTTACCATGCTAATTCTCTTTGAAGTGAAAGTAATATATGGTACTTTTTGGTGAAATCGCTGCCCATTCAAAGAGCTAATAAAAACAACTGCGAGGAAAACAGTTTTTTACCAATTAGAACTGAGGACCACAATATTTCGTCATAAAGGACCTTCCTAGGGTAAGAGGTAAGTCTTCTAGTAAATTTTGCAATTGCATTACTGGGGATAAAGTAGGTTTTATGTTTTTTTACTAAAACCCCGTCTATGATGTGCAAACGATTAACTTCCTCTCTTGTTAACCGAACGGCTTAGTGGTTGGTGTGTTATCCAGATCTGCCCAACCCAATCTGGTCGCCTTAAACACCGCACCATTCAAATTCAATTCCGAGTTGGTGAGCCACTCAGAAAATCTACCTTTAACACGGATCAGTTTAAAGTGGCTTTCTATGAGACAGTTTTTTGTACACTTAGAAGATAACGCATTTCCTCTATTATGCAGCTCTGGAAAAAACTCCCACTTGCTTCCAGCAATTTTTGTTTTCCAGACGCATAGTTTTCAAAAGAACGGACGGGGTCTTGGATACGTAAAATAGGGACTCGTTTTTTTCGGTTGCCAAAATGACATGATCTTGATATTTAGCTCACGATTTAAAATTTATTCAATATAAGATGACCAAAGAAGTTCGTAAGATTTTCTTTTACAAAAGACAAACAAACATAGAAAGCTTCTTTGAATAAACAAAGCGCATCACACCATTAGTAAAAGCTATTCCTATCACGTTAATCTGGCCTTATTTAAATCAAAAAACATCTTATACTACTTATTGATTGAGAGAGAAGGGTCATGCCAAACAGGACCTTATTCTGAACCTTCTCCAAATACCATGTAACAGGTTTGCAAAGAAGTTGGCCTTTTGCAAGCTTGGAACTAAGGTAAACTTTGTAAAACAGACGAATACGAATCGCACCCATCGGATTCGGCCGAAATGTTATGCCATGAGGGTTTTGAAGTCTACCAAGTGGGAGATAAAAGGCACGTTAAGGGTTCTACATCTACAAACCGATGCTTTATAAAGCATGCACATAAACAATTAAAGAAGTTTGACAAAGCCCCACGAGTTACAAGAAGTCGCTAAAGTGAACCTCCTTGAAAGGCTCACGAATCCCACAGGGTGAAAAATCTAATTTGGGTAACTCTTCTACACGATGATAAAATTCCTCTGAAATAAGAAAGGTACGTTTTTTCGGCATTTTGGGTCAAAATACTTTAATGGAAAATTTCCTACATTGCTTTCCTTTTTAAATGAAGGGTAAAAAGTTTGTGAAATAGACCTATAAGATGAGATTAGTCTTAAATGCATTGGTGTCTTCCATGTTTTTGATGTAAAACACTGACCTATTTGCCCTATAGCCATTGCACTGTACTAGACAGACATTTTCTACCAAATAGGTTCCTCGGTTTTTGTGAAACGAGTGCGTGAAATAGAAAATTCTCATGGCAAATGCACTCAATGCACCGAAATGAACTGATAGATAAATAAATTTGTCAGGGTTGTATTGTAGCTAACAGCGTGTCTAATGTCGTCCAAGTCAGCCCAGAGCCGATTGGATGCGCGATATTTCGAAACCTGATCACAAACGCCATTAGCTAAGCACTCGGCTTCCCAGTCCCCGGAGGGATGGTGGGCTGACACTGTGACCGTCATCACCATTTTATTCATTGTAAACTAATAAGTTCTTTTTTCTCTCATTCTGATGATGACTAAGCTTATAATTTTTGTCTAATCGCATTGTAGGTTTCTGATGGTGTAACTTAACAACTTATAATATTTGTTGTTTCAAGTCATCAGACACTAATTTGAATGGGCAAAATGCAGGCGTAAAGTTTCCAAATTCGCTACTTTTTAAGAAACATCGTGAAGATTAGTTCTAACAGTGGAGATTTAAACACCTTTACAAGTGCAAATGAATAGCTTACTGCCAATTTGTCATCATTTTAAGGAGCTCCTCTCATTACTTCACCCAATTTTCCGTTTCCCTATGCCACTGAACATTTCACTGAAGATTTCGTTTTATGTTCGTTGGTTGTTAGACTAGGTGCTTGAACGGCTTTGGTTTAAGAATCTGTGTGAAAATTGTTCAAATTTTTCAAAAGGACAATTTGTAGATTTGCTTTTGAAATCACCAACGCTTATGAAATTTCCTGTTATCTTTTCCGATTTACACACCGGAGTGACTAAAGCTGGTCAAAGCTTCTGATAAAATTATTGTGTTGATTGGTCCAAAGGGATAACGTCCCTCAGCATGGCTGTGCTAGGCCTGACGTTTCAAAACGAAAAATAATATTTTTGCTTCTGACTTTGCAAAACGGTGGAGGAAGGATTGAAAAAAAACGACCATGAGGTTCTACAAGAACCATGTTCCTTAACGCGTTTTCTATCCATGCTCCGATTTTTCACCTGATCCCCCACACCACTCACAGAAGGGCCAATTGTTGGAAGGGACATAAAAAAGACTGGAAAGATGAGAAAAATTAAAAGGTAAGTAGTGTCACATTGTAGGAAATTGGAAAACACCTTGGCTGCTGTAGTAGTTGATTTTTCGCCGAGAAAGGCTCTGGTAACGAATGTTTCAATGCAGTTGGTGAAAATTGCCTGTCAAAGTTTATGTTCCCTATCACGCAGCAGTCCTAACGCATGGATGACTAGTTAATTTTTACTAGACACACTTTCTGTGCAACTGCCACACGCACGCGCACACATGGTCGGCACGTTAGTCTGTGGCAGTCATTTTGAGGTCAGGACCTCCTTTACAAGTCAGAGGGATGTGTTTGCGAGACAGCCAACGACGACGAAGTGACGGTGATTATGATTTACCAACTTGACCCAATGAAGCGTACACCCCTGGACCATGTCGCGATGTCACCTTGCAGCCGTAGTCTCCGCATCATTTACCCCTAAACTCCAAAAGAGCTTCTCCTCTCATTACCAAGGTGGTTACAGTAAAAAGCGATCTGACTGTCTGTTCCAATTGGTAAATACGTGTGGAGTGTTTGTAAACGGCTGATGATAACAGGTTGATGATCTCCCTAGCAAACCAGTCAAATATTTTCCACTTTGTATTACGAATTCCAACTATGTCAAGTTTTAATTAATCTAACACTTCCTTGGTCTAGTGAAAACAAATTGGGACGAGTGTACTTCGAAGCCTAGCCTGATGCAAACCATCCCTTTCTGCTGTTTTTGTATACGTACAAAGAACTCGTATATGTAGTTGTGAAAAATAAGCCATTTGCAGAGTGAAGAGGTGGAATGATTTGATTTTTTTCACTTTCAATTCCAAATGAATTACCCCTTTAGTAGATTTTCTCCAGTCCATACCATTTGCGATTTAGGACCCACTTAAATGTATAAATGCTTATCCACTTTTTAATACATCCTTTTTGATGGTAGTAGTTTGCAGCACTTAGAATTGATCCCCAAAAATTTCAATTTTTCAAAATTACTGGAAGACGTTAATGGAATTTTTACTTTATATACATTTAAAATGGGAGCGATTTGATATCCATTCACTATCATTAACAATCAAGTGGTCGTTCCCTGAGTGTGCGTGAAGGGAGATACTTTACGGTCAGAGTGGATCTACTTGACAAATATTGCGACGTGTTATTGGAAGGAAGTGAGTTATTTGCAAATGTTTTCATATCAGTGCATCGGGCGTTCTTTTTATTACTGACTCAAGCATTTCGCACGAAGATGGGACAACAGCTTAAAACAACTGCTTGTTTCCCTTCCCTTTAGTGCCTCCCAGCGTGCTGGAAAGCGCATGGAAGGTAATGGGAAAGCATCTATCGCGCCCGTCAAAGCCACGACAACGTAAGAAAACTTTTATTAACACAAAAATCCTATCAGAGCAATGGTTCAAGGTACTTCCAGCAATCGGTTTCATTTATCTATCATTGCATTTAACTGCGTTGACAGGTGGTTAGTGTTCCAATTAGTCAGTAAAAACATGGTCAAAATTTTCACGTTCTATAAATGAAGACGAAGTGAAGTAGTCTTTTTTAAAATACACAGTCACTAGTCCAGTTACTAGTTTTGGAGCATTCTACTTATTTAATCTAAGTAGTATGTTCACGAATGGTTTGCTTGAAAGGTTTTAATATTTGCGATTCAGAATGGGCTTACACAAATTAGGATAACGCATGATTTATGGCACAAAATCACTGGTATTAAATGTAAGTTAATCACCCAGAAATAGTCGAGGAACGGATGAATAATGAATCATCAACGTGGGCTAATCGGTGGACTGAATTATTTATCCCCAAAAACAATTGTGCGGCAAATTGGACTTCTAAGGTAGATTTTGAAAGCAGTCTTGCGTGGATGAATTTTACAAATGTCTTTGCTAATTTGTACTTAGGACTTTTGTTTGATAAAAATCACTTTGCGTGATCTTCCAAAGTGATTATTGGTCAAGTTCTACTGTTTGATATAGGTCGCTACAATGACTTGTGTATCTCGAAGAGCCGTCTAGAATGCGTTTTTGCGTGTTTTATAAGGGATAAATATGAACCGGTCTACCGATACGGCACTTTGTTGTAATCCTGACATTTTGATCCGCGTACCATGACATGTTGGTTGAAGGTAATGGACGTGGTTTAAATCTGTCTACTCTGGAACCAAATTAATCTCGTCACTGATTCAAGTTTAGTGTGTCAGTCTTCGGCTGGGATGATGAGGAATTTGGCTTACACCCACGTCAACAAAGTCTTGTGAACTAAAGTTACAAGCGCTTCATGTCACACATTAGGAAATGCTGATGCGCTTCAAGGACTCGGATGTATTACAATGCTAGGTGGACAAATGTACCATTAGTTATCCCCCGCGCCGTCTACTCGCTGCCGATCCCACACCTATAAGACGCGCACCAGTTCATTTGCGGAGGATGTGTTTGGCCTTTGTGTGGTGAACTTCAAAAGAAATTGGCTACTGAGAATTCCCTGCTAAAGCCCAAGCAATTGTGGTTGAGATTTGCTTAAAATAACACAAATGAGAAGAGTGCAAGGTAAAATCCTCTATCAGGAACAGTCAAGACTTGTGAATTAGCTGGAAGGAAGTTCTGTTACCGTGGGTGGACCCTGTTATTTCATTCTGAGACAGAAAGGATTACTGACCCAAATCTATTGTCTTCTTCGCATTGCCATGTCGGTATTTCTTTGAATTGTGACCAACAAATTCCTTTGGCATCAGGGGATTGCATTTGCAATGGATAGATCCAAAATAGAACTGGAATAAAACTAGAGATGGCTAGGGTCAAGGCGGCTGATTCTGGGGACAAAATGTTCTGTTTCAATGAATAAAGCACCATGAAAAGCCCTCTGCAGTTATCTTATTTGTGTTTAAAAATGTGCAAACTTAATAGATGGTGTTGAGAAATAAAAATACAGTGATCATGGCGGATGGCAATCTTCTCGACAAACGCTTTAAAGTTGACAACTGAGCCGCAACACACCGGAAGAGCTGAACAAATAAATGCTAGTAGTTTTTGATCCCGAAAGTAGACAAGAGAATGCGTGAGGAAGCCCACTTTTACTTTAAAAAATTTAAAGGTCCTCAGGAGTTTGACAATCATTTGCACTGATCATAGGTCCATTCTGGACAATGAGGGAACCCGGTAATTTTGGATCGCTAAAGACTTTAATGTTTCTTGAAGTTTATTTATGTGTTACAATTTGGCGATAGGATGACAAAGATAACCTTACCCAACATCTGTAAAATATTTTGATAGGATTTGCTCCAATTGTATTGGCTTCATAAAAGCTCAACTCCACGATATTGGTGATTTAGTCTGCTAAGTTCCCAAAACAATGAATCTGCATTTTTTGTATTCCTTTCAAATAGCCTATCAAAAAAAGAATCGCCGGGAGCAAAACTCAGTCCACCCAGTTCGTGGCCCAGTGCTTTTGCCCTACCAGCAAGAACAAAGAGATCCAGGCGCTTTCCTAAATCCATCCCACAACGAGTTTGACAGAGCCGCTTACTCCGCATTTATGGAGGAAACCCTACTTCCGAAGACGGCGGTTCCCACCGGTAAATAATGTCGCCTACTTATTTCACATTGGTAAACACGATCCTAATACTCGCTTCACTTACCCAGATCTTCCAGCGCCAGTTAAACTTCTGCCTAACAACATCTCCATGTTCCCCCTGGTGCTGGGTGTCCTGGTCGGTCTGGCAGTTCTCATCCTCCTCATCCTCCTTCTCATCGCCTTCGGTTTTCGAACCCGTCGTCAGAGAGCCGCGTACGCCCGTCGAAAAGCCCTTTCCGACCAGGCCAATACAGAGACAACCTTTTCAGAAGCTGATAAAGTACAGCAACGACAACAGATACAGCAGCAGCAGCAGCAACACCAATCTGCACCCTCTCTGACACAACAGGGAAGCAGTGCAAACAGCTACGGCTACCAACAGAGCAGCGACAGTGGTGCTGGTGGTGCAATTGCTTCCACTTACCTGCCACATGGCATGTTTGCGACGGAGGCTTGTTGGCCGGCTGGACTGCAGCCGGTGCCACCCGGAAGCAATTATTTCAATGAGGAGGTGCCGGGGATTGCATTTCCACCTCTTGGAAGGGATTCGGGATCACATGGATATGTGCAGCTTCCTGTGAGTGCTGTAGTATCGTCACAGCAGTGATTTTCACATTATGAAAGCTCAGTGCTACACGTGGTCGACTAGTGTGACTGGTTTAGAAGCTGCTGTGGTATAAGGGTGCTGAATGCATTCTAGTACTGGTTCTTGTATAACTTAGAGGGCTATAAAGGCGAGAAATGAAAGCCATTGGGCTGGAATGTAAATTGGCACCTATATTTTTGCTTGAAAATAATGCAAAACAGTATGATGAAACAAATACACATATCTCAAATAAACTTTGTCCAAATTTGCCTTAGTATTATTCGTTGGAGTTACAAAAGAATTATGGGTAGGCTTACTCCAGAACGCAGCAGTCTAAAATGTTCGAATCAAGCGAACAAATAGGCCAAGTAAATTTGAGTTAGCTCAAAAAAGAGCCTTATAGATTGTCGTCGTTCAGGCAACATTTTGTTTAAAGAATTTTGTCAATAAAGAGTACAAATGAATCATTATCTATGTAGCAGACAATGGTTTCAGTGCCAGAGTTAAGGAAGAGTTGAGTTGAATAACATAATATGTTGAATGTCACTTACGCAGGTGTCCAGCTCGCAAAACAGCGGACTTGTGTACAGCCACCAGAGCAGCACCACCACCATGAACCGCTCAGCCAATCACCTTCTCCCCTTCTCAGTCCCGCATAATCGCGCCCCAACGGAAAGCTTCTCGGTGGCTCCGAGAGTGTGCTCACCGGCGGTAAACTCCAGCGTCTCTACGGAAAGTGATCGTTTCTCCGGTCAAGCTAGCAGTCATCTCTCTTCCTTTCAACCCCTTTATCCATCCTCCGGGGCTGTCTACATCTCTCCAAGGAGCCCTCGGCGGCAGAATCAACTTCATGTGGAGCGGTCACAGCAGCAGCTATGGGTAGGATATGATGAGAGTCCAGTTACATCTGTAGATGCTTCCAATCATCTTTTGGTGGCAAAGGAGCCAGAAGACCCTCAAGCCATCGTTTCTGCGTCTTTCGAGAGTCTAATCGAACCACCCGAGAGCTTCAAAAATCGCCCATCATCTTCAGAACTGCTCATGGACGCGGTACCTCCACGAATGGCAGAGCTTCGAAGGCTAGAGAAGTCCTACGAGGGAAATCAGAGCTGGACGTGGCAGGATGGGCAGTTCGGTGACCATTAATTAACCTTGACGCTGCCTCTCCTCCATTATAAACTCCACATCCCCCATCCTCCTACCCACAGAAATCACCCCTTTCCAGCGTCACAGTTACGGGTCATAAGAGTTGGTCTCTCCCTCCCTCCCTTCCTTTCCTCTTCCTTGTTCCCTCCCCACTTAAAACATGCATTTGAGAAGATAAAAAAGTATGTAATTTCTTTTTTTCCTGATATCTTTTGTTTGAAATCGGATTTTGCTGAAGGGCTTCTGTGTCAAAGTATGCTGTACTGATCCAGATGAGCTTCAGAGATATAGCATTTCGAAAAAACCACCTGTTTCAAAATGTTTCAACTTAAGAACTATAATAGAGGGATATTTTAATTTTTTACAGTAAACAAGTACTTGTAAAATTGTCAGTTGACCGAAAGTGTTACCATTGATCTTGGTACGGCTCCCTGTACCGACTTCTTGTACCTCCAAGGGGCTGTTCAAACGCGCCAATCTATCGGTGCCGGCATCTCTACCAGTTGAGTCCTGTTTCCCTGCTGCTTTGAATTCTCTTGCTGTAAAGCACCTCTTGGGTCAAATGCGGTTTAGATTTGTCGGTTTTACAAATTACATTTCGGTTTCAAATGAGCAGAAGCTTCCTGTGTAACTTGTGAAGCGGTCGAGAATGGTGCATTGGGCGGTAGAAGAATGCGCCACTCAAAAATGGTGTTAACAGCTTAATTATGTTGATGGTTAACCCTTCAAAGAAGTCCCCTGTTTATTGAAGCAGGAAAAACAGATGTTATTGGAGGCTGACCTGTTTAAAACGTTTAATTATTTCCTGAATAAATGAAAAAGCTTTTGAAAAAAACGGATTCCGATTTGCTTTTCGTCTCACCTCATGGAAACACGAGTACATTTTGGGCTGGTTGCGTACTGATTGACTTGTGAAGAGGGAAGGGGCTCCTGTGTTGTCACGTTAAGTTGACAAACGTGTCATTGTGAATTCTCGACGCTGCTAGCCCACACAGGGCTTTATGCACGCCTCACGCTGCTTACCTTGTGTGCGTGGTAGACTGCAGGCGAGCAGCCACGGCTGCGATGCAACTCGAATGTGTACAAGCAAGACCTCTTCTTGGGAAAAAAAATTATGGCCACCGGATCAGTCGGAAGAAAGTCTTCTTCTTCTTCTTACAATACAAAGAACTTTCCCGCAAAACCTACCTTCGCAAAGATTTGCACTATAGTAAGGAAGGTAGGAAGAAAGGGAGATTATACCACGTACGCTTTTGACAACGGATATCCCGATGATGATCGTCGCCTTCACTTGGCATTATTCAGTCAAATACAAAACGGTCTAGATGGAGGTATTGTGAATATGCTGGGAAACGGTGCAATGAAAGTGGAATATGCAGCAAATTCTTCTTGTTGGGGGGGGGGGGGGAGTGACAGAATGTAATGATGATTAAATCAACAATATTCACTGTTAAATTGCTTTTGTAACCTCAAATGACAACAGAAAGGAATTTAGTAATGAGATCAGTCTTGCTTGTAGAAAGCAGCACTTATGGAACCAAAAGCGACGCAGTTTGTGCTAGTTATAACAACTATATGCATTTCTGAAGAAAAAACTGAAAGACTAAAAGATATTTTAACATCGAATGGGCAGCTGTGATGTATCAATCCTGAATAATGTAGATACCGACCTTAGCACTTCCAGACGCAGAGCTTCACTGCCATACAGAATGGCTGCACTAAAATCACACGGGAGGCTGTAACATCGATGGGCTACGGAAATTGCATTACAGAGATCACTCATTTTTGACACCCTTCAAGGCAGTACTCAACGAATAGATCCTGATGGAACCGAGTGGGCATTTGCCTGGGTGACTCTATACTATTTCTGCTATCCCACAACCATCTATAAAGGACAGTTTTACCTTTTTTCCATTATTCAGTTCCAATCTCCAAAAAGCGTTCCAAAAGGAATTTCCCAGATTGTTTTGGGGATTACTCCATTTACACGTCCTCTTTTGTCATTGATTTGGCAGCATCGTTGGGGGTATTTCACCCATACCAGCCAGCCGGTGAAATGTTCTAACACGTCCCCTTAACTTAGTGCCACATTCTTATTCCCTCCTTCATTCATACTGGGGACGGGTGATACCGCCTCCACCTCTCTGCTAGCTGAGCAGAACCCAGAAAGACTTCAAGGAAGAATTTGGACCCTATATGATGTCCGTTGCATCGTTCCTCTTGATGCCTTTATGACACTAGAGAACATTTTCCAACTTCTCGATCGCGCGGTCAACACAGATTTATTCTCGAGCATAAGAAAAGCATAATTTCATAGAATTATATAAATAGGGAAGGATTTAAAACATAGGTTTAAATTGTCAGTAAAATAACAAGTAAGGCTTTTGAATCTCCCATTGATTACGGCGAATTATACCGTTAATTTGTACTTATAATTTAGGAAAAAAAGATAAAATTTAACGAAGAGCCGCCCACAATCTGATGCATTTAGGTTATTTAAAAGTTGCAAAGGCATTCCACTTTCCACAGACATGGATTTGGCGTAGGCTTAGTGGTTGAATTCACAAATGAAAGTTTATTTTCCCCCATTCCTTGATTAAAATAATTACATAGTATTAGCTTTTGCATCAACATTCAAGGTGATGAGAGATAGTCATCTTGAATTAGATATAAAACGAGACCTTTTCGTAGCAAATTCGCAAATTCATTGGTGATTAGCCTTGGATTATACAAATTCTATTGAATGGATTCCAGCTCAAACGCATGTGTGACGCTCCGAGACTCGCTTGAAGAGGAAAGAAGACACAATACTTGGGAAGAGTGTGTTGTCAATATACCCAACGGTGAAGGAGCTACAGCTCGGGGGCCAGACCGCCCGATGGGCTTACAATGGCGGTGCTTTTAAGTTATCAGTTGCCAAAACCGACAGCCAAATAAACAATTAAAAGATTATAGTATATATGACAATGCAGGCTATTCCATCCATGCAGTTTCCTTCCCTCTTGCCCCCTCATTTTTGACAACAAGTGTCTCTGCCATTCATAGACCATCTTTCGATTTTGGTTTGTCTCGATGTTTCGAGGCGTTGCAGTTCAAGAGGGATACGCTCGGGATTACATAGGTTGGATATTTATTGTTACATAGACTGTGGCATGGTCAGTCGGCATGGGCGCTCACAACAGAAAACTGCTGATTCTTTTAAACTGACATTTGCAACTTGTCAAAGTGAAGTCCTCCATGGTGGCCAATGATGAGGCAATTTATCATCTCACTTTTCAACCTCTTTGCAGTTTAAAGTACCAGACAGGAAGATTACTGAGCGGAGTGCCTCAATCGGCCCCGCAAAGAAAAATGAGGATCAAGTTGCTGCCCTTTTATCCAACTTTCCCATGTTTATGCCATTAATAAGCCATGGGGGTATTCTGAAGTGGCTTATCGCAAGTCCAAGTTAATATCTACTTCCTTAATGAAAACGAGTTTCTACTTGGGATGTGTTTATTTTTTTAGAACAAAGTAAGGTTTGATGTATTTTATAAATTTCAAACTTAATTCATTATTTTTGTTGATTTATGGAAGTGGTTATTGAGACAGGCTAAATGGAGATTTTACATGCTCAAATCCACTATTTCTCATCTCCTTCTAAATGTACATTTTGGCTAATAAAAGAAGTAGTTAACACATCCCGCCCGAATCTCATTTCCTGTGTAATTGAATTCTCTTCCTGTCCAGCAAATTATCAGATAAAGTTAGCGAAATTCAAGGTTTCGCCTAATAATTTTTTGCAAATGGTTGTCTCTACTGGGTCCCAAATAGGCGGTGATATAGTAGAAAAATTCTGAAGTTTTAAGGAGGCGCTCTATTTTAAAACAGGAGCGGTGGTCCAACGTTTCGATCTCTGATGAGGTAGGGTTTTGACTTCCTTTAGTTCTATGGGATTTTCACCGTTCAATAAGGACATTTCGGATGTCAGATGTCAAGAAATGGGTTTTCAGGGTTTGCATATCCCATCCATTTGGAATTGCTACCTTGTTCTCACTTCGAAATTGTTTGTTACTGCATTGCAAGTCAAGAAGAGCTGGTAGAATGCCATCCGAAATGGCAGAAACAGTGCACCACGGCACTGAGATGATGACAGATGCCTTCGAAGATATAAGATTTTAGGATGCCAAAAATAGGGCTCAATGAGTTTGTTCAGGCCGTCCGCATTCAATCTTCTTCTATGTTTGCGAAATTCTATTTGCGTAACTTTTGAACATTTTGCAAGTGCTGTACATATTCTGTTTAGCTTTTACAGGATCTCCTTTAACGGAAAGAAAATAACCTACTAACTCCAGAACGAAAAGCAATGATAAAGGCTTTTTCGGGAATACGCTTAGTAATTACAGTACTTCGATTAGACTTAACTCCATTGCCTCCAAAATAGGGGATTCCCAAGAAAGAATAACAAAATGGAATACCGCAACTTTTTCTGTACGTCATTCTTGGACAAATTTAGGCAATAGCGGCACGCCATTCTTTGTGGCATTTGGTTTGTGGAGAAAGTCACGCATCCACTTCTCAGTGATTCACCATCACCCTAATCTGGATGGTACGAACTGCCACAATGAATAGCACCTTTCCCAAATAATCTACAAATTTTTTTTCGTGAAATTGAGTGTATTCCAGCAAGAAAAGCAAACATATTTAATTCCCCTCAGGTATGCTAGTCATTTTATGTGGGTTTGAAATATCTGCAACAAAACGGAGGACACAGATTGAGTGTCTGAGTTGGATGAAGCACATTTACGCTCTGTAATTCACTAATAATGTCGTATTTTACGTCTGCAGAAGCATTGTCAAGTCATTACAGTTGGCCTTACCGAAAATCTCACGAGCATTATGAGCATCGAGCATATTTCGGTTAGAAATTCCCCATTAAATGGAACAAAAATGCATAACATATGCTACTTCTTTCTTATAAATTACTTAAAATATCTTTTAAAAGCTAGAAGGAACAATGGTATCTTTAACCAAAATTCATCCCACTCATAATTATGAAAAATGGGGATTCGCTCTACTCTTTGCTTTGTTTTGAAAGTTTTGGGACACTCAGTTTATAGAAATGGTTGCACCAGCTCAGTCCATGGGCAACCTGATTTAATAACGATCAAACAAATGAAAGATGCTCATATTAGCTTTTATAAAAGCATCGCTTTATCGGTAAGCAATGAGGTTTCTCAGCACTGGTAACTGACCTCCTTCTGCGATCCCAGTAGAGGATATGATAAACCTCTGGATCATTGGAAGGCGGAGACTCACTGGAGCCAGTCAGACATGCGACCACGGAACAAAGACGAATGTAAGACAGATCCTACCACTAACAGGGTTGTCATTGCAGGTAAATTGGGTAGTTAAAACAGTCATAGGGATCACCGAGATTTCTCTTGTAACAAAGGAAACAAGTTTTCTCCTTTTTTCCTTTTTCTAACCATTTTTTTGAAAAAATAGCTTAAAGATCAATTTGGTGAAATCTTAAAACAATGAACAGGAGGAAATTGGGAAAAAGTTCCAAAATTTGATAATACTCTTATGATTTATTTGATTTATGTGAATTTCGGGCAACTAAGAAGAGACAAGTTTTCTTTCTTGATTCTAAAGGGAGCTGTTAAATAGACAAAAGCAGCCTAACTATGCACTTTTTAATTTAAAGTCATAAATTAGACAAATATTTTAATCAAGGCAATGTTTCCGTGCCCTTGAGACGTGGGGGAAAAGGAGAGGCCGCGTTTTATGCCACAAGCAGGCTGTGCCTTTGGCGCTATTTCGCACTGGCAATAAAAATTACGAGGCAATCCCCCTGAAACATTAAGCAAATAGCAGTGCTAATTCTATTTAACGTGAAACGAAAAAATCTTTTGTTGTCAGCATTTGTCTCCTTTTCGTCCCATTCTGGCAGGGCTTGGCCTGTCTGTTTGTCTAAAAGTTCAATCTTTGCAGATTTCTTCTCCAAATTAGGGCAATCTCCCAGTAATCGTTAAAATTTCGCTAACTAATTGGTTGGACAATTGGTGCAAATACTTAAGTGAAATCCAAAGATATGTTTGATAATTACTTTTGTCGAAAATTCAATGCATCTTGCTTAAAGCAGTTGGTTGGAGACTTTGCCAAATGCTCGGAAGAAACTGCCTTTGAAGGATTTTATAGCAGTTTCATAGTTCCATCAACAAATTGATGGGTGGGAAGGTTTAGTCCTCTTGAAACCTTTAAGGTCTACTTTTGAGCCTTTTCCAAAATAATTAAAAAATTTAACGGCAGATCCAGAGGCATCAAATATTTCTTACAAAATTCTTTGGCTTGTTGAAACAAAAAATTTACGCTATTTCCCAATCTCAACGACTACTTTTCCCTAGTATCAAAACAAAAATAATGTGTTTCTGCAATAAAATAAAAACTACTAAACAAATCAGGAAAAAAATAGGCACATGTGGTGTACTTTATATCCATTATATTCTCCGGTCTAATTTACAGATGGCTGACAATTCACTCTCTGGCAGTTAATGCATATTGAACCCATTTGCTCCGCTTCCACGCCCTCCTTGGTCGGTGTAGGGACAAACAAATTGTCACCATCTCTCACGGTGAGCATTAGAAAAACCTGTTTTTCGTCGTATTCATCCCAGTTTTTCGTGTCAACAGTAGCACGTAATTCCCTTCTTCTTGTCAAGAAGTATACAAGGTCTTCCAGAACTTCGTCCTCTCAAAGTGGATGGTACTTTCTGCTGCTGCTGCATTCCACATCTTCTCCAAGCGCCGTGCAAGTTCTCAAAGGCAAGGCTACTGCAGCCTTGATTCCAAGTTAAACTCCGCTTGCTTGCAGGTTCAAGCGACATTCTATGCCATGCGGATTAGGCTGACGCACATGTCAGTCCATATTGGGTACAGGAAATAACAACATCGTGGTTATCAAACGAAACGTGCTAATAGGAGAAATCACTCATTGTTTCACTTGGAACCATCTTTTAAGAGCGAACAATGACATTTGCTTTGAATTACCTACTTATCTGGCCAAGTTAGTCACCTTTCACAAACACCTGCTTTCTTAATAACTAAATGGCTTAACGGTTGGAAACTAGCTAAAACTCAAATCTGTAAATATTTGATTTGAGGAGAAATGGGATACTGCAGCTAATTTTTGTCCCATTGAAGTCAATTAAAGTGTGTTGAAACACGTAAAAGATCATACTGGACAAAATATTTGCGTCAGGAGCAAATAGAACTCCGGAGTTGATCTGATGCAAACAGCCTTTTTAATCCATTAGACTGAGTAAGAAAGAAGTCTGATTCTTTTACTTTTTTTCCAGTAGTGCCTATTGTTAGTATCAAAACGGCAGTGATTAAATCCAACTTTTCTAACGGCATCCAACTGTTTAAAGTAAGTCATTAATATGGAAATTCTGGGAAGGGTGTGATCTAGACACCAAGGATGATATGCTCTTTTGGTATTTCTGAAGCTGTGTATTACACTCTTTGATTTAGCAAGTGTTGCAGCTCCTGAAAGCCCATCTATAATACATACAGTTAAGGCTCGCAACCAATTCAATGCCGTATTTATCAGGCAAAACAGTCTTAAAAACTCCTCAAGCCGTTAACAGATGTGCATAACCACATTTGTGTCTGGGTTCGTCTAAGGTGGGCAGCACTGCCAATCAGCTCCCACCGACTCATGTGGGACCGGTTTTGATCGTTTAGCCATGTATGACTGCTCGTCTCTGACGTCCTGATTGGCTGCCCTGAGCCCGTACCCAGCCAACGGGCATGGGTGGTCCTGCTACAGTTCCCTCCCCACAATCGCTCCACATGCCTGGGTCGAGTCGCTGCATCTACAAATAGAAAGGCTATTTAAAGTCGCAAAGTCAGATACCTTATTTGTCATTTTACTGTCAGTTCTCTTCATTCCCCCACTCTTCCTACGACCGCCTATTTCGGGTAAATAAAATTAAGGAATGGCTTCTACCCCTTAACATGGACTTTGGATTTCGGAGTTATTATTAATAAAAAGAAAACTAAATTATGACCACTCGGTAACGTTCTATTTAGGCATTTTTTAAGCTAGGGGAAATAAAATGAATTTTCAAATGAGGAATACGGTGAGTAACCCTTTGCCATCGCTGAGCCGCTCAAAATTTCTTTTTGATTAATTATTAACACAAAACGGTAAAAAATAAACCAATTTTTACCTTATACAAAACTAAAGATGGGACTTTTGGGGAATGCTCATTGCTTAATCCAAGTTGACACACGAATAGGGGAATTCAACAAGCTTTTGGTAAATTCAAAATTTTGGCATCTTTTTATTAAAAATGTGGAAGTTTTATAAAATAATCCAATTTTAATGGGAGAAACGACCAGGAATTACAGTCACCAAATTTTTCTTATGAAATTCAACTAAAAATATGGTGCAATATTTCCATCGTTCCCCTCTTCTACCGCCGGAAGCAAACCCTGGGATCGAAAAAAAATTAAAAAGAAGGAGATACCTTGCCTTTGTGTTGTATGGAGGTTTTGCAGGTTGTGAAAGCTTTAAAGGAAATCAGCGTTTGATTTTCTTTTAAGGAAATTTTAACGTTTGCTCGACCACGAAGTGGCTGCAATCTGTCATGCGTCAGCGTGCCCTCTCAAAGATCATCTCTGAAGGCATATTCGAGTTCACAGACGTCTTCACAACGAATTTATTACTCAACAAACGAGTGATTAAAAGAGCCGAATCACTGAACCCTTGATCTTTGACTCACCTTCACCTTCGTAGACACACACTTAAATGAATTAGGCCAATCTGCCTTCTTGGTCTTCTCGTCTATCTTTATCCCAATGGAGTTGACCCAAAAGAAACGGTAGGGGATTAACAAGGCAGGAAACCTTGAATACTCGATAACCTTTGGCTTAAAGTCCATGGTGTAAGTGTTTGCTTTATGATTTAGACATTGTTGGAGCGGCATGGGAATAACTAACTAGATGGCAGTTATTATGGGCAGTGCTGATTCGGGCACTCAAAGGGGTCAGCGACACACAAATGGTGTCTCCTTTCGCATTCCATCCGAGGACTGGGTCCAAACGGTTTCGTTCATCACAAAACATGTATCTCTCAAGTGAAATTGAAGCCCATAGAAAAGGCAGAACAGATTATCTCAAAAGGTACGGCTGGAGTTTGTTTCCCTCAAGATTTGGCGCACAAGTTGGGTGAGTTTGCAGACGAAGGCACCAAAACAGCGACAGACTTCTACATAAGCAAACTCGGCTAATAATGGGCCAACCTATTTTTGTGCATCTCCGCTGAGGAATTGTGGCTTCGTTCTGATTCACCTTCATCTCATGATAAGTTCTGCCTTAAGCCCAATTTAAACCTTTCATTCCTCTCTTGGAAAAGTATTGCCAATGTCACATTTTACGTCACCTCATAAAAGAACAAATTGTTTGGGGTTTATACCACCGACTGAATGCCATAAATTTGCCGGACAATATTACGAATCCCGGAATTAAAATGTAAAAACCATCAGAGTAGAACCGAAAAATCTGTTGCCTCATGGAAATCAAGTACCACCTTTAGTGGAAGAAGATTTATTTCAAATTTTATACAACTTACGTGAAGGTGAAGTTAATGAGGTGATTTAGCACGCAACTTCTTGAAACGTTGATTCCTCTTTCTACTTCTGAGTTGGGTGGATTAGAAGTGGCGACTTCCCTTATTGCCTATAACATACTGAAGGAGGGTAGGGATGATACCACAGACTGCAGAGGCCAATTTTGCCTGTACGTGGTAAATATTCAAAAGTTTTAAATGTTTTAAGTTGGTTTTAAACTTGAAAAACGATGGTGGTTTGGGTTGTTATCTTGGTAATCATAATTTAATGACCACCTTGGTATCCAAGTAATCTGTCCACTTCCGCAGTCATTCAGTCGTTCAAGCCCCTGTTGTCAAGCCTCTCCCATACTCGTGTCACCAGTGGCGATTTGGAATGCCATGCTGATGGCGTGGACAAGCGGCGCCCTCTCATCATATATGCCTAGGTGAAGCACTTGAAGGTTGGAAGATTTTGATCATAGTTCGCAAATTGCAAAAATAGGGGGTCTTAATTTTAACCGAATGACCATCGTTGTCCATTTCTGGTGATTGTTTAAATCTCTCACTGTGCCCGGCTGCCATCCATAATAAAAGTTGACCTCTTCCTAATATCTGCATAAAAATAAATAAATTATGGATAAATCTGCCACCAGTAAGTTGCAAGTAAGTAAGCTTACACGAGATAGAACGAGTTCAAGCCTTTAAGCAAACGACTGAGGAGCTTACCTCGAGCAGATCACCCTTAATCCGGTTTTCTTCAGCTGATGACACAAAAATTGGCAGTTGAAAGGCGTTTATTGCACGGCATCGATCAGCCCTTTGAAGGTCTAAATTTGTTTCTGCCTGCGGTTAAGACAGAAGGGTAACCAAAGTACAACTTTATGAAGAAGAAAAGTACCATGAACTGCTTAAGTTGTGGGCAACCACTTGGAATTCACGGCTGTAGTCACCAAGCTTTTCTGTATGCCGCCAGCAGTGCATCATACTGTCTTCAGAGATGACGGCTCTAACGAAGTGGAACCTCGATCTCCATCTTTAGCCTAGCAAAGTAGTAACATTTGGAATGCTTGTTTAATTCTTCGTTTTGACTACGCGAACACCTAAAGCCCCGCCTTTATACTTCCGCTGGACGGCAGGCCAGATGCCCCTCAGCCCTTCTGTATGCCAGCAATACATTTTTGTCCCAGCTTTATAATTGCTTTCGATTTCGAAAAAGATTTGAGACGCTTTAGACTTTATTCGTTTATAAAATAAAAAGATATTTTTGAGTTTATTTCCTTCGTTAAGGCAAGTACATTTTCAATCATGGAGAGATGGTGGAACGGCGGGACAGTTTGTTTCGCCTACGTCAACTGGGGAGGTCGTGAGGGAAGCTTATAAGAAGGAGAATCCCAAGTGTCCTCCATTACCAAATGAAAATAGGTTTGAAAAATTGACTGACTTGGGATGAAAATGGATTTTATCCTTAAACCCCGAATAGAAGAGCTTGTCACTAGTTTTACCCCAAATTACCCTCTCATGGTATTCTACACTTCTATGGCAGGCATCGGTCCCTAAAAGACCGCGCATGTTTCGTAGGTGGCGGACACTAGGCAGGGTTATTCGGAGATTTTTGGTTACTCAGGGGTATGTCTGCTCAATTTACCGCAAATTGGAGATGTACAAGAGCCAGTCGAGAGAACGAGACACCACAAGATCTATCTCGCCTTGTGGAAATTTCTCGTGGGATGAAAGAGAGGGAATCCTGTCTTCTTTCATCCCGTTTACATTCCCAGATAGTACTTTACGAGATGTTACTCGTCATGCTTTCTTTTGGTACTAGAAAATCACACTCAGCATCAGAAAGGCAGTTGAGGAATGAAAGGAAGGAGAGGGATAAAAACGGGAGTGGGTAGGTCTGTCATTCTTGTTTACTTTAAGTAAAGTGTAGAAAAAACGTAAAATTTTATGCAAGCTTGCATCTCTCCGAGAAAGGATTAGCCTGCCAACAAAAACAAATGCTAAGAATCTTTTGAAGTTAGCGCCCTTTTATCATGCACATCTCAAGGTGACAAAGTAAAAGACGTGGAACAAAAACCAGGCCTTGAATTTTTTGGTTCTTTTTACCCACATTTTTTCTTCCACTGTTATTTTGCTTTTTCAAAAGGGCACCTTTCATAGCACTAGTTTGCTGCCATCCAAAAGGGAATGTTTTTGTTTCGAGCAGGTGCGTTAGGAACCAATCAGAAGTGGATTACCGACAAGGAAGAGACGGACAACCGAATAAACAGATCTGCAGAGATGCAAAAATGTCCTAGTGGCTTATAATCCCGCCATTATGTGCCTATAAGATATAATGTTGGCCTCCTTAACCTGATCTGTTAGGCCACTGGAATTGACAAGTAGAAGGAACACTCACTGGTTTGCGACTGACGCATCGCCTCCTTTGGTAGAGCACCTCACCCTCTTTCCCCTTTGAAGTTAGCAAGAAGCTAGTCCATAGTTCCACACACAATGACTTCTGCTTTAACTTAAAAAAATATTTCTAGAACAAATTTATCAGACATTATTTGACTCAGATAAGTTTTGCTTACCTTACCCCCTAGTAAATGAGCATACCTTTTAATGCGATTATCTAATTTATGCCATCGTTTAATTATTAAGGTTTGGAGCTTCATTAGTTTACCCTCTGTGCGCAGGAAAAGGCTTTAAGCCTCTAATTTGGAATACCTCTTGAGAGATCAAACGTAATGCCATCCTGGCTGCATGGAAAACAAACTCTTACAATCACCCGTTCTCCTAGCCTTCGTAAATGCTGCTGAAGTGATGGCTTACAGTGTATTGGAGGTTTGTGGATGTTTAAGTTGAAAAAAAAAAGAACTGGAAATGAGCCTGTCTCGTTTAACTAAGACAGAAAACTTTCCGATATCTATGCTTAAGTGTTATAAGTAGTATAAGTGTTCATTTGTTACACAAGGTATAACTATGGCATTTATGGAGTTTAAAGATGAAGGATTTGACGTTTGCTGAATAAGTGAACTCTTCACTCTCCATCGTTAGTCTTCCAGTCATGTCTGTTGCAATCCAGCCCTTCTGCAAATTAAGGGTCAGCCACTTTGTATTGAAGTGCCAAAATATAGCTTCAGTGAATCCTCAGATCGGCGAATCGGCAGCAAGTCTTGCCTACGGTTAAGGGGTCAGCTATTTCTTCCTAATAAAATACCATGAACAAAAAGTCATCCTTTTTATGATGAGTCCATTCTCTACTGAAAATGCTGGTTTGAAATTAAGAGGTGGAAGTTCTCATTGTGACAATATGTATAACCATGTTAACTTACTAATTGACGCGGTAAAGAATAAACCCAAACAAAAGACTATATCAGATGAGGAGCTTTTTCCTCCTTTTAGTTTCTACCAACAGTCACAGAAGCAGCAAATTCTCTCCCTTACTGTCAGCGTCTCTCATGTCAATAAATGCCCTAATTTTGGAACACTTTCCTTTTGAAATCGGAAGAAGGAAAGGTGGCGTAATCTTCGTCCACTGCTCCTATTCAACTCACAAGCGGTGGAGAAGAGATGATGATATAAAACCGATTGAGGGGAGAGGCACATTTGTAGTCTTTTCTCGCAGCTGCTATTTGCCCATTTCCACTTGAAAGTATTGCGAGGTAAATAGTCTGAATTTGCAGTCTTTGTATATCCTCTTTATGACACAAGAAGAATTACTTGTATCATTTTCTAAACGGTCATTGTCAGTGGTATGTTTGTCTCGATGACAGCACAGATGTGCTCATTCCCATGACTTGAAGTGATATAGTCAGAGAATCAACAAACTGCTAGAATGAGCTTTCATAAGTATGGTGGCTTCAAATGTACTATATTTTGTGCATATCTTGGGGACAATTCCTCAAAACAATAAAAAAATCATTCTGCTTTGACACTTCCGGGATTAGGATGCGGATGAAGGACTTTTTTATGTTCTCATCTTTCAAAAGAAAAAACAATTGCGTTTAAGACAATGAATTGGAATGGAGAAGAAATAAACTCTTTCAGATTAGTTAATTTCATCTCCAGGAGATCTTATAGAAGCTCCTAAAATGCCAAGAGATCCAAGAATCTGTAGCAGCTGCAACCTTTAAGAGGTAGGCAAATGGAAACAACTTGGCCTACTCACTATGTCCATCGTCTACTTTCCATACAATTGCGTTAATTACCAGTGCTAGATTCCCCGTAAAAATAATACTATAGTCCTGGCAATGCTCTAGTTTACATTTTGAGTTTATTTGATTGTTTGACAAGCCAGAAGGCGACGCTACAATTGGCCACAGCAACCGGTCAACTCGTTGGTATCCTCCATCTCCACTAAGCTTCAAGTTTTGAACTAGACAGATGAAAACATCGTCATGTCCTACTCTTCATCCTCGCCCATTCGATTTCTCCATCCTCTTGCGATTCATTTCCGGCTCATCTGCAGGTATCTCAGATTAGCTTGTAATTCTCATCTCCATGACAACATCTATGTTGTATACGGTTGGTGGAAACTGATTCCCTCTGTTATTATTTGCATTAGACTGTCAGTTCCTAACACCGAGAGGAATACCACTAGGCGAGTACGCAACACGAGTAGACCATTAAGCAGCCACTTTATGTTGTGGAAA